CTGTACTGACAAACTCACTAATAATAAGCCTACAAGATTATGAAATGAATCATAGCATATTCATCCAGTATTTTCACTCGTGGTTTTTTTTCCCCCCACTTAAATTGCCACTCCAAGACTTCATTTTGTGAAACTCTTTGATTTGAACCAACATTAATTGTGATGAATTCAGAATTATTCTGATTGGAGTGGGCATGGATTTGGGGCTAGTGTCAGGGTTACATCTTTATTCACAAGTAAGTATGGGACCACTGGCTTAGGGAGATGCACTGATTTATATTCTCGTCTAACTAGCCTTTGCCCATGAAATCCTTTTTTCCACTTATCACCATGGAAAAAAGCTCTAATAATGAAGGCTTTATCTTAAATATAAACAATTAGATTGGAAACTCAAAGAAAAAAATATTTTATATACACAAACTTCTTGATTGTAAATATAACTCTCCATTGCTTTAAGAATGGAAAAAAATACTGGAAATGGGAGAAGGAAATAGGAAATCAGTTCATAGATTCTAAGGCCAAAAGGGTCCATTTGATGATTAGCAAGTCTCTCATGTTTAGGAAATCCACCCAAATACTTCTGAAAAGATGCTCTGCGTTGGCCTGAACTCCACTCCATTGAAATCAATGATAAAAATCCCATTTACTTCAGTGGGAAAGTTAGGCCAACACTGAGGACTGCTATTCCAGTTCTTGGCTTTTTCTATACAGGAGCTGTCTGTTATGCTGAATCATTGTTGGCTTTGTGAGGTGGACAGCCATCCATTGAACATTTGGTTGAGATTAACAAATTTATTTGCAACCGAAACATTATTTCAATTTAAATTGAAGAAGAAGAAAAAGACTAGTGTGCGCATTATTAGTCTTGCCCTGTCTCAGATAAAGGGAACAAACATTAAAATAAAATTACAAGGTTTTAGAGGAAAAACCTTTAACACATACCTAATTTATTTTTATTTTGCTGCTTTGATTTGCTGCTTCAACTTGCCTCCTTAGCTCTGCAAGCTCTGTACTTTATTAGTGCCTGCAGTAACACCATTTTAAAATGGAGGGTACAAGTAAAATTTGTTTTCCTGAAGTCCTTGTTTACAGGTTTCTCTCCCCCCTCCCCCCAACCCCCAGATTAGTGAAACCAGGACTAGAGGCTAACCTTCCCTTCTCTTCCCCCATCCCAATTAATTTTTTTATTGAATAATAATTTCCCAGTAAAATTAATCTGTTCACATTGAATACGCCCTCTTCACATAGTTCTTATGTAAGTCTTTTCTAAATATGAAAAATCTAACCCATTTCAATACTAGAAGGCTGAATTCACCTAAAGCTTTCTGCTTTTCAAGCAGGATTGTCTTTGCGCTATGTGGAAGTAGATGAATAACATTCTGTCACATTGCATTCCCATTCCCAGCCAATTTTGCTATACTTTAAGAATGGTTTTCAGAAATGAGATCTTAAGCCCCAAGGGCTTCTACTGTATCTGACATCTTTTAGTGAACTTCTTACTCAAGGCATATTGCTTCCAAAGCCCCCTATGTTCTTCCCTCCAGACAAATTGCATTATGTGTTACCAATAACAATGCCATGTCATTTTATAGGAAACCAAATTAAGCAATACAAGTGCAGGTTATTGGAAGCTAGATGATTCAGTAAAAATAGTATTTTGGTTAACACTGAAAGAATGCATTCACTTAATAGCTAAAAGTATGGAAGTTTCTTTTTATAACTTAGATTTTCATAAATGGATTTCTATATGTCAGTAATAGCCCTCTAGGTAATTTAAAGTAGAGCTTTTCTTGGTTTTGTTTTGTTTCTTAATCCAGAAGAAAGGGTAGCTGGTGGTGTCTTCCGCATGCAATGAAATTTCTGAAGGACAATGTTACATTATTTTCATTCCTAACATGATTATTACAAGTGTAAGTAGATAAAATTCAGTTTTGTCTGGAGGAGTTGGATGGCTGAGGGTATTGGGATTTGGATTTGCAGCTTTTCACTTCTTGGTTCCTAGTGCCAGTCCAGTCCAGATCGGTAACAAAACAAAAACCAACCCTCTTTAATATCTGCTAGTCCAGGCAGCCAGTATGTAATGAATTAGTAGTTTCAGCTGCAATTCCCAGAGGACAGGTTTCTTTTGTTAACATTACAAAATCCCTGTAAATAGGACTAATTGGTGTTCTTGTTGGCAATCTCATCAGACATCCCAAGCCTGGAATAGATATAACAAGCAAATGAATTTTTCACCCCAGACGTGATCTCTACAATTCAGAGTTCAAAAGTATTAGTGACAAAGCCCTGGCTGGGATGATTTAGCTGGGAATTGGTCCTGCTTTGAGCAGGGGGTTGGACTAGATGACCTCTTGAGGTCCCTTCCAACTCTGATATTCTATGATTCTATGATTCTATGTATAACATAGAAGCTTGCATTCCTGCTGCCCATGCTGTAGCTCTTCTGTAGATAGATTCTAGTTTCCACGATTGTCAGTCTGGTACGTTTCATGAGCACTAAGTTCATGAAAGAATTTTGAAATGGACGAGCAAAGTAATAACAATATCAGTGTAATCTTCTCCCATCAATATTTGTCAATCCTGAGCTTGGAGAAAAGAAGGTAGACTCCATAATTTGTGCTGCTTTTAAATTCTGCGTTTTAAGTGCAAGGGACAAAATGTGTGCTAATATTGGTCCCAGTTCTGCTATTGGATCTGTATGGGTAGACCATTGTGTTTGTGTGGAATCAGATTGACTCCAATGGGATTCTGCACAAGCCCCTGTGTCCACCCACGTGGCTCCAGGTACAGAATGACATATTGGAAACTTCTGGTTTTTCAGTTCTACAAAAAAAAAAAAAAAAAATTACCCCAAATTTATGGTCTCTTAAAATATTTCGGTGAGTTAATTCATCTCTAATTTAAAATATTGAGTTTGTGTTGGGTTTGCCATTTTCTGAATTTGTAGATGTACATGAGCTCAGATCTGTCTCTTTATGAAATGGTGTATTTAGTCTTGTAAGGATGAGGTTGTTGTCCAAGAAATGCTTTACCAGCTTTTCTGTGGAACAAACATTGGCCTTGGTGCCAGTTTTTAGTTAGCAGTAAGGAAACACGGAGATGGCAGATTCTGGTTGCCAGAAGCAAATAAGGAGTTTATTTCAATCACTTTGCATTCCCATTCCCAACCAATTTTGCTATACTTTAAGAATGGTTTTCAGAAATGAGATCTTAAGCCCCAAGGGCTTCTGCTGTGGGGAGGGATAGCTCAGTGGTTTGAGCATTGGCCTCCTTAAACCCAGGGTTGTGAATTCAATCCTTGAGAGGACCACTTAGGGATCTGGGGCAAAATCAGTACTTGGTCCTGCTAGTGAAGGCAGGGGGCTGGACTTGATGACCTTTCAGGGTCCCTTCCAGTTCTATGAGATAGGTATATCTCCATATGTTATCTTTTATATATTAGTCCTTTCTTTCATTTTGTGGTCCATGGTAGCACAAGGGGGCATTTGAGGAGTGGGAGGCAGTGGGACATGTGGTTCTAATTAACCCAAATTAGGGAATGAGTGAGTCATGCATAGATGAGTAGCTAGTTTGGCAGTTGAGGATAACTTACTTTTTAATTATTATCATTTAAGTGATTTGTTATCCACAACTGTCCTCTTACAAGCTGCTGTTATAAACTTACCAATGCTAGAGCAATTGGGGTAGTTTATGTATATTGTATTGCATTTTGAAGGAACTAACCATGTTGAGGAGTAGTTGTAGATGATCTGTATATTACAAACCAAATAGAATGAAAAAGAACTAGTGAAACATATGCCCTTTGTTACATTGACCACTTTGTTTGTATTTTGTATGCCTTTTCCTCACTTGTCATCTGCCTTTTGTCATTTTAGGACCCAATCCTGCAAACAAACATGTAACTTTTCTCACCTGAATAGTCCTACTGAAATCTATGGGGAATACTTCTCTGAGAAAAATTAGAGGTGTTTCTAGGGGCAGGGACTGTCTTCCTGTATGTCTTTACAACTCCTGGTATATTTTGGGTGCTTTTGCAATATAAATAATAATGTAATGGAGGATAAGTGGAGGGAAAACAGAAAAATATATTTATAGGTTTTTTAACAGATTTCTCTGAACTTCTAGTTCTAAGGGCACCTATTTCTAAGGAAACTGATAACATATTAAAAGGTTTAGTGGCTTGGAGGACTGAAGATTACAAGGAGATCTGAAGCTTTAGTTGTGTACCATTATCTCATTAAGGATTTTTTTCCCTTTAAAATAAGGATGGTAGTATTCTTGCATTTAATTAATCAACCAAAATAATTTTTTGTTTGAGCCACTTAATACTAGTGGGATTAAATTAACCCCACTCTGGAGGGCCAGTGCAAGGCTATCTGCACCACTTAAACTCTGTAGAGGTTCCCCAAGGCTGTCCACTGGCTGAGCAACCATGCAAGTATGCCTCATGCCCCCAAGGTGCTACTGAAAAGGTCTCTGCACTCAGCCTGCATAGACCAGCATGTGAATACAACACTGAGGGCAGGCCAGGGGAAGGCTGTATATCCACATCCCATACAAATGCTGTGGAAGGTCTGTGGTTTCGAGCTTGTAGACTGGAATAATGGCTGTGGTGGGGCCTTGGAACCTGACACTTAGTTGTTGGATGGATTTTTTTTCTCCTCAGTCTCTCTACTTCATCTGCTTAAGGCTAACGTATTTGGGCTTTATGCAGGCAAAGTGGATTTTAACTAGAGTGTGTAAGTAGTACTAATTGATAAGGAGAGAAAATTATGTAACTAACCTCTGATTTACAGCCCTCTTTGAACAGAGAAATCACATTTGTTTTCCATGTTACTTTTCAACTTAAATGAGTGTGACACTTTTATCTTATTAAACATCTAGAGAAGCCTCTATTACTTTCAAAATCCAATCAGATCACTGTTATTAAACAGCTTAATTATTACTCTGTGTGCCATTGAAACTAATTCAATCACTTTTATATCTTTCTTTTTATTCAGATTGTTTGAAGGGCGGTCACCAAGGAAGCCTGAGAAGCTTAAAACCCTTTTCTGCTACTTTAGAAGAGTCACAGAAAAAAGTATATCCTCTTATTAGTTCATTTCTTTTGAATGCTGTGAAAAATGCAGCTTAGTTTGAGCTGCAAAGCAAACACATAAAGAATGTATAATAAATGGAAAAATCTGTAGCAATACAATGTTATGGAGAAGGTTTTGAACAAAGAAGTCAAGAAATTGAAAATACTGGTTCCCACAGGAACTGTAGCTTTGCACTGAGGTACAGAATATATAAAGTGTTGAATTATTATGTAAGATGCTAACTGCCATGCACATGCTCTCTCTTTCTCACACACACTTACTTTAACACTTTGTGTATGTGTATGTGAGAGGATGCAGTATAGTTGTAGCTGTGTCGGTGCCAGGATATTAGAAAGACAAAGTAGGTGAGGTAAAAATTTTTATTCGATAAAATTCTGTTGGTAAGAAAGACAAGCTTTTGAGCCACACAGAGCTCTTCTTCAGCTAGGAGTACCTTTCCCACACCTGAAGAAGAGCTCTGTGTGGCTCGAAAGCTTGTCTCTCTCACCAACAGAAGTTGGTCCAATAAAAGATTTTTACCTCAGCCACTTTGTTTCTCTAATATGCGAGAGCATGGCAGTTAGTAGAATATTCAGTAATTGAAATATATATATTATCTTAATTATTCCATATGCTGCTAACTGCCATTCTCTTTCTTGTCCATAAAAAGAGAGAGAGAGCACTCACGCACATAGCAGCAGTTAGAAGCATATAAATACACACTCTCTGTCAAAATAATGGTTTCCAGGGAACTATAACTTTGAATTTACTGGCTTAAGTGCATCCAAAATCTCAGCTCTGATATTGCAATAATGCAGCTTTTTTCATTTTTTCCCCAAACACTTCTATCCCCTTCTTCCCCCAAAAGCTCATAAGAGAGCTGACCCGCATTTAAAATAAACCCACTAAATGAGCGACCCAGCGAGATATTGGGCTCCCTCAACTCCCGTGGAACTTAATTGGATTTTAAGGCATGCAGCCACCTGGCAGGATGATGCTCAGAATGCATTTGTGTAGCTGGACACTCCAGTAAGATTATATAAGCTATCTGAGATTCAAGTTACTATACCAAGTGTGCTTAATCGAAGCTTCTTACATTGTCATGGGGTTGCACATTCACATAAACTTGTGAAAATACATATATATGGCTGAGCACTCATTGTAATAAACATGTACCTATGATGCTCTAGTTGTATGCATAATCATTAAGGCAGAGATTTAATCATGGGTATTTTTAGTAAAAGTCATGGACAAGTCAAGGGCAAAAAACAAAAAATCACGGCCTGTGACCAGTCCATGACTTATAGCATAAATACCTCTGATTAAATCGATGGGGGAAGGAAAGCCCTGGGCAGCCAGTGGCAGCTCTGGCCACTGCTGGAGAAGGGAGGAAAGTCCTGGGCAGCTAGTGGTAGCTCCGGCTGCCCCAGGATCACTGCTGGGAGCCCCTGAGCTGTGGCTGCTCCTGCCGCCCCTGGGACTACTGCTCAGGTGGTCCCCGGGGCCAGCCACATCAGCCACTGCCCGGGGCCGCCACAGCAGCGTCTGGTGCGACTGCCTGCAGGGCCATCCAAGCAGCTAGCTGCAGAGCTGCTCCAGCAGCGGACGGTGTGGCTATCCCAAGGCCACCCAAGCAACTGGCCTCAGGGCCAGTTGCTCGAGTAGCCCTGGGGTCAGCCACACCAGCTGCTGCAGAATCCCTGACTTCTGTGACCTCCATGACAAATACGGAGCCTTAGTAATCATTCATATAATATATATCTTAATTATATCTGAAGTATCATATCTTGGTCTGGTGTTAAAGAATTTCTGATGGCATACTCCATATAAACATCATGATGTTTTCTACTCTTAAAACTTTATTTTAGAAAATCATTTGTTCTAACATGTAAAGAATACTAATTTTCCTTCATAACTAACTCATACCAAGTCAGAAGCATTTGTTTTTTTAAAAAGACATTTTTAAGGTATTCAGGTGCAAAATGGCATTTAAAAAACTACTTCCATACTTGGGCCTAAAAAAGGTTGCCGTTTTATCTGACTCAGTCATTCTTTTGACTTATTCTTCCACCATGCAAACTAGTAGAACCACATCCTATCCTTAATATACCCACCAAAGTCTCATTGATGTCAATAGATGTTATTCACACAGATCAAGAGTAGAATGTGACCCATGCATGTAACTTTTTGTGTATAGGTAATTGCATTTTTACACGTGAGTGAAAAGATGTTTACATGCAAACTGAATTACAGCAACCTCTTACTTCTAGGTTATACAGCTGCTCCGCCTCTTTCTATATACTTAAAATCAGTTGGGATTATGTTCTATGTAACGGGTTAATTTGAATTTTTTACAATATAATTCCAAATAATATTTAATAGGATTCTCAAATGTTCTTCCTTGAATTAGTAACTTGTATTTCACTTTCAAACAGACCCTGTCTCTCCTCCCCCCCCCCCTTTTTTTTTCTCTCTGTATAATGATTTAAGACTGAAGTAATTTAGCTCTGGAAATGAGTGGAAATTAAATGTTTAATTCCCCAGCCCTTTTATTATAAATAGTAATTGAGTTCCTTGTAACAGAATACATTGGAGTATATGTAAACCAAAGCTTAGTACTCAAAGTGTATGCTTAATTTGTGAAACGTCACCTCCATAATATCACAGAACCCTTGTGGGGAAACACTTGATTAATACAAGACCTTCTCTCTAAAAAATTAAGCTAACCTTTTTTTTGTAGAAGTCTTTATAGCCTCATAAAATTTCTAACAGTATTACAGGAATATTTAACACTTTCTGAGGAATATGTTATGCTTTGCACAAAAGTAAGAGTTCTTAGAGAATAGAGGTTTTAAAATATGTTTTTATTGAGATGACACCACCATTGTCTCTAATAGTTTCTAATCTCTTACTCTAAGAATGCTTTTCCATAGAAAACAGGGAATTTCTTTCTAGACAAAGAACAGATTGAATAAAATAAGTTTCTTCCAAATATTCAAAAACTGATTTTTTTGTTGCTGCAACTAAAACACATTTTTAGTGAAATAAAAGGAAGTCACAGAAATAGAGGTAATCTCTTATAATATGCATCTATTAGTGACACATCTTTTTTTCTGTTGAGGGCTGGAGACCTCCAGGAATCTTCGTATTTCCTATCTCATATGCTTCAAGAGATAATGAACTTCCTTCCTCTGGAATCCATCAGTCCTTCATGTTAATTAGTTACGGTTCTTGGTTGAAAACATAGGGTGCTGCCCTACTACAAGCATGTAGTGCTTCATGACCTGCTCACTGAAGCCTGCTCAGCGTCTGAACTCTGATTTTTTCCTATGGCAACACATTCTGCTCTCACCTGAGCTACCAACCCAGTCTGATGATGATTAAAGTTTAAGTGGAATAGCTGAGAAAACAACATGTCATACCCCCACTTTACTTCTGCTGGCTGATAAAAAGAGAAATAGATGTAAAAAGAAGTGGAGACAAGGAGGTGAAAGTTTGATCATCATATATATTTCCTTCAGTTTGAATACTGGCCCTGTCAGTGAGGAAATCAAACTTAAGTTTTCCTTTTAGGAGAAACAAACATTTATTTTAACGAGCATTTTTATTTTAAATTGGTTTTAAATGTTCCTGAGTAAGAACCACATGTGTTGTAGCCTTAGTTTCTGAATGATTTTAAGTGGTGAGCTTTTAAAACTTGAAATATACAGCTGATAATTTGTTTTACTGTTTTTTTGTTATTTTTTTTAAATAGAACCGACTGGATTAATAACGTTTACAAGACAAAGTCTTCAAGACCTTCCAGACTGGGAAAGGTAAGTTAAACACATCTCTCAGTGTGAGTAATTGTTTTACTTGGTTGTGATGACTTAAGGCCTTATGCAACTCCCAATAAAGTCATAGACTCCTAGTGACTTCATTGGGAGTTGGGTCAGGCTCTTAATCATTACAAGGGACACTATTTTGTATGGATCTTTGTTATTTTTATTCATCAAGTCTAGAAAAAATATCAGCTGAACCAATGCAAAAGCAAAAAGGGAGTTGTTTCAGTCTTCCGTAGAAGTAGATAATTTTGTCAAAAGTGCTAAAATTTTGTAAAATAAATTTCTAACTTGAGCATATTTATGTGCTTCAGTTACCTCATTTCATTTTGTTTGTTCATGATTTAAATGAATATTTAAACAGTGATATTTCCATGAAAATTTGCAAGTATATATGTGGGGATGAGGTTAGCCTGGGTGTGATGGTTCATCTGAAGCAGCAATGACAGGAACTCTGATGCAATATGGCTGACAGCCAGCATGAAAAATTTGATTTGTTAGCTTTTTCATTGGCTAGTGCCATGTCATCAGCAAACAGTCCAAGAAAGATGGTGGCTGCTTGTCTGGGAATGTGAAGTTTTAGATTTAAGCGAAGTTTTTGGATGTTGGAGTTTTGGGGCTGGGAAGAGAGGCAAGAAATTGGGGAATTAGGTGTGTAACCCTAGAATCAAAATCTGTAGATTTAGGATTATAGATATAAATACTAGTTAAGATTTAACATTATATATTAAATTTGTATCCAAGACTGTAAATAGCACAGTGTAGAATTACTGGCTATTCCATGCTCTTTCTTTTTTTAGACTTACTTTAATAATTGGTGTTTATTAAAAAAAGAAAAATCTTATAACTCTAGTAGTTATAATAGTTACTATCCCTAAAATGTGCTAAAATAACTAGTGTGTACATTCACTTTTAAGTTACTTGCTATACAATGCATATTAACTATAATCTAAAAGATGCACCCTTGTTAGACACACAAGGTCTGATACTGTGTCTTGCAAATAGCATGTCATGGATTTCTTGTTAGTTTTACCAGTTCTTAAATATACTATAGTTAGTATATGATAAATGGATCCCCAAGCCCTAAAGGGCATACAACAAAAGTTATTTTAGAAGGTAATCCCATTGAAAGTAGTTACTCAGGCTAGGAGCTGACATTGCATTCCCTTGGCACTCACTGCTTGAGTAATTTTGTGCTGTCTCTTGCAAAGAGATTGATTTCTTGAGGTGATGGTGGCACAGTGAATTGTAAGGAAAAAGCACTTAGCTTGCTCTGGTTTCAGGATAAATATGCAATGATTACTGAGAAAGACTTTGAGGTATGACAAAGGAGAATTAAGCCACCATTTAAAAAAGATGAGCCAATTCAGAATGCAGAATCCTTGAATTGCAGAAGTAAACAGGTATATATGTGCTGGGCAGAAAAGATGCTGGCATTTTGGGGTCTAAAACATTTTTTATAAGTCTCAGAGTACATCAATTCATGCATGTTTAGTAATAACAGAGTACACATGCTTCTCCTAGTCTTCCAGGAAACTGCATACCCTTACAGTTGTATATGTCAAGGGTCAGATCTTCAGCTGGTGTAAATCAGTTTACCTCCATTGACATTGACTGGTGCTTTGCCAATGTACTCAGATGAGGATCTGACCCCAAATTATTTTTCCTAATCTGTCTAAATGTTCTGTAAAATGATTTTGTCATATTAACATACTGCTTCTTTGCTCTATCTGTGTAACTACTATTTAGGGGTATAAAATATGTAATTGTATGCTATTAAAGGTTTTAAAATTGGTGATTGAGGATATAGACATGTTTCACATTAATCTCAATGGGAGCTGAATGGCTAATTTTTTTTTTTAACTAGAAAGGTGAAACATCATTTTATTTCTTGTTTGTTAAAGTGAGGAATCTAAGCCATCACTGATATGAATGAACATCAGTTTATGTACTAGCTTCTCATACAGAATATTCTGTTTCTTAATATCCTGCTCAAGTAGAGAGTAGATTTATGTCCCTTGTAAATCTATTAATGGATGATTGTAACTAATACAGCTTAATTTAAACCTCTCTCTTTTTTTTTAAATTCCACTATATTATGATTAAATGTCAGTGACTTTCTTCAGTAAGTCAAAAGATTTAATACTGTTATTAAAAGTATATGGTAGATTAGAATATTCTGTCCACAATACTGGTGATCAATCCATAAAATTAAGTGATTATTTTAATTTTACAATTCTGGATGGAAATTAATGATCAAAAATGATCATTCTGATCAAAATAAGTCCAAATTTGTGAAAACCCAAAGAGTAGTTGTGAGCTGGAGAGTGTAGTTCAGCAGAAATAAAATGGTAGCGAGCAACAGGATTTTTCAACAGCAGCAAATCTTTATCAGCATAGATCAAAATAAATTACCATTAGCATAAAACAACAACAAAAAGATCCCCCCAGGTGGGGTTCACTCAGGCTATGGCTATACTCCAGCTTAAATCAACATAAATTATGTTGCTCAGGGGTGTGAATTAGCCACACACACACCAAGTGACATAATTTATGCCGATTTAAGTGCTGGTGTGGACAGTACTATGTCTATGGGAGAAGCTTTCTTGCCAACAGAACTGTCGCCACTCATGGAGACTGGAGTAATTAAACTGATGGGAAAGCTCTCTCCCGTCGCCTTAGAGTGGCTACACATATTGTTTATTGCAGCCACTGTAAGCTCTCTAGTGTAGCCATAGCCTCAGTACCTGTGTGGAGCCCTGCTTTCCAACAGACATTCCTCTCTTCTGTTTTTCCAGCATTCCTGCTTATGTAGCTGTTCACATGAGTTACTGTGTAACAGAAAGGAAAAGGGAAGCTATAGTTACTCTTTTGTGTACTGGGGCACAGGTGGTGCCCCTGCACTCAGCGACATCTAGGAGTATCAGAATTCTAAGCCCAGATCTGCTATTCTCTTGTTCTGTGGCCTTGGGTGAGGAACCTAACTTCCGTTTCACCATCTATAAAATGAGAATAATAAAACCCAATTCACCAAGTGGTAGTGAGGATTGACTGATGTGATCATAGGGAGCGGATATCATTGGATGGAAAGTACTATGTAAATGCAGAGTATTCATTTTCTTCACCTCCCACTTCCCTAACTCATATCTGACTTTTGTCACGTTGTGCCAAATTCTACTCTAAGTTATCCTGGTCTTAGTTGTATATCTGGAGTATCCCTTTGGAAAGCAAACAAAGCTTTTTCATTGAAGTCAATGGAGTTACTTTGGATTTACACTAATGTAACTGAGAACGTAATTTTGTTCATTTATTTTTTTGCAGATTTTTATAATGGAGACTTTTACATTTGGTGATGTAGTTAATTGATTCTCTGTAAGGTAACACTGTATCTATATATATTTTTAAAATTATAGATCTCATAAAAAACTGACCAGATTGTATGTCACATATGAGGGCACTATAGAAAGCAATGGACGTGGTATGCTACAGGTAAGTGTCTAATAAAAATATGGCTTTATGCTGTGCTTTTGGCCCTGCTTTTGATGACTGGGTAGTTTAGCAAAGCTATTCATATACCTCCTTGGTTTTTGTTTTTTTGTTTTTAAGTAGTGATATTATACCGGATAAAAGAAACAACAAAACTGATCATTTTGAAAGCCTTAGTAGTGTCAATATTCCCCAGCTCACCTTGTTTTTCACATGTGTCCCTGTTTCCAAAACCATTTGACAGAAAATCACAAGACCTGGACAGCTTCAGGTCCTTCAGTTCAGACATGGATTGAAGATTGACAGGAGAGGAGTTTCCAGGGTATGATCTTGACAGGGTGTCACAGTTTTCAGTTTATTTTTTAAAAGCTGTTGCTGTGCCCCATCTGGTGACCAGTTCAGTAGTTCAAGAGGCTCTTTCTGCTGCCAGCATAGTTGTTTTGGTCTGAGAGCCAGTCAGCTAAAACTGATTGATAAGCAGAATGTCTCCTCCATATCCATAAAGAAATATTTAGTTTTGTTTGAAGGGGTGACAAGTTTAGCTTTTAGAGTTTAGTATAAAACTTTGTGTTCTGTCCTTTTTATCAACTTACATTATCCTGTCATTTGAAGTTGCTTTTAGTTCTTGCAATCCCACTTGAAAAGGGGAAATACAGTCCTTGCCTAGGGGAGAAAATAGATCCATAAAGTTTGTAACTGGAACTACAAGGTTGCTAGATAATATCTGGGAATGTGTTCAACGGGGGAGCTCCATGTGGTTTGGAGTCCTCCACAGAATTTTCCACGGGGAGTGACCCTTTAAAAAGGTCCTAGCATCTCCTGCTTACCAGCACTAGTGGCCAGATGGAGTCTGGAAAGTCTGTCCTGCTCCTGTGGAGCAGCGCTAGGGAGGTGGTGCCTTTATCGCCTCAGAGGCTCCAGGGTTGTCAGCTGTTCCATGCTGATTCACACCTGACACCTGCAGTGATGCATTCCTGCAGAGTTTAGGAAACCCTCCGGGCCCCAGTGGCCTCCCAGGAAGAAGGGGGCATCATTACATCTGTTGTCTGAGCGCATTATGAAAATTGTGCAAGAACATAAGAACAGCCATATTGGGTCAGACCAAAGGACTATCTAGCTCAGTATCCTGTCTTCCGACAGTGGCCAATGCCAGGTGCCCCAGATGGAATGAACAGAACAGGTAATCATCAAGTGATCCATCCCCTGTCGCCCACTCCCAACTTGTGGCTAACAGAGGCTAGGGACACCATCCCTGCCCATCCTGGCTAATATCCAGTGTGTGTGTGTGTGTGTGTGTGTGTGTGTGTGTACACACTGTTTACTGTATATAAAATCTTGTGTGCATATACGTACATATATATATATACACACACATAAAAATATAATAAACAGAAATCAATAATGCAAAGTAGAAGGGGGGAGATGAAATATATAAATATGAAAAGGTATGTGCCCAGGGTTACTCTTTCTATGGGACAGCAAATATTAAGAGTGCACAGAAGATAATGGTTTGCTAGGTTAACAAATGCACAACAGGATGGTTCCCAAACATTTATACTTCTATAAATTCCCTGTGTAACCATATGAACTTATTAGTGTTACCCTTATCTCTCCTCACCTCCCTCCTATTTTTTGTCTTGTCTTGAATTTAAACTGTTGAGCTCTTCAGAGTAGGGAGAGACCATGTTCTACCTTTTTGCTTGTACAGCAGCTAGGACAATGGGCCCCTGATCCTGACTGGGGGTCTCTGGGTGCTACCGCAGTATGCACATAATACTATTATTCTTCAAATTATCAATAATAGTAAATTAACTAGTTATTCCAGGCAGCTCTAAGATATTTTAGTTGTTAACCAGTAGGCATTAGTGCTGTTCCAATATTAGCCACAAGCAGGCACACGATACTGTACCCAATGATGTGACCCAGCACGGCATATCCTATGTCTCAAGTGAGAGCATCACCACAAGTAGATTGCTGATATTTTAACATGAGGAAAATTCTTCTCCTTGAAGCCCTTCGTACCTTCATTAAATCCGAGCAGCCAGAATCTGCATGGAGATGATAAACTTAAAAACTACACAGAAATATTAATTTTTCTTCCTTCTCCTTAGTCACCCATCCTGTAACCCCAGGAGGGAGGAGGAAATTATGCTGATACTTTTATAATGCCTTTTATGTATTGTATAAATTTACACTCAGCTAAAACAAATATACCCTGAGGGGTGGTGATATTCCCTTTTTCTAGCTATTTAGCTTTTTAAGTCTGAATAAACAGAGCAGGTAATCCCTCTGCTTGGATTAAGAACTCTGACAAAAGATTTTGGAGAATTTTCATCTGAGTTTTATATACCACAGTCACTTTTAGCAACACCTCAACCGCTAAATGTCTATCAACATTTTCATCATAAGTTTCAGTAGGGATTTGTTGTTATTTTGGCTAGTTGTTTCAAAGCCTTGCCTTTTAGAGGTTAAAAATCACTTTACACTTGACACTTAATATGAGTTTGTGGTCCAAGGGGATTTATTTCTTCTGCCACCCTCTCATTTTGGTTGAACTCTTATTATCTATTATGAATTCAGTTGTCTTAAGAGAGATGTGGAAAAATATAGTGGCATTTGAAAGATTAGGATGGAATAGCATCCTTTTTTTTTATAAAAAGAACAAAACTATAAATTATATGCTGGTCACTAATTTATAATGTAGACTCATAGGCTTTAAGGACCGGGGGGACCATCATGATCATTCAGTCTGACCTGCACACTGCAGGCCACAGAACTTCTCCCACCCACACCTGTAATAGATTCATAACCTGTGGCTGAGTTACTGAAGTCCTCAAATCATGATTTAAAGACTTCCAGTTACAGAGAACCCACCATTTGCTCTAGTTTAAACCTGCAAGTGACCTGTGCCCCATGCTGCAGAGGAAGGTGAAAAAACCCCAGGGTCTCTGCCAATCTGACCTGGGGGGAAATTCCTTCCTGACCCCAAATAGTGGCAAGACCCACCATCCAGACACCTGGGATAGAATTCTCTATTGCAACTCAGAGCCTTCCCCATCTAGTGTCCCATCTCTGGCCTTCGGGGATATTTGCTACTAGCAGTTGCAGATGGGTTACATGCTATTGTAGGCAGTCTCATCATACCATCCCCTCCATAAACTTATCAAGCTTAGTCTTGAAGCCAGTTAGGTTTTTTGCCCCTACTGCTCCCCTTGGAAGGCTGTTCCAGAACTTCACTCCTGTGATGGTTAGAAATCCTGTCTAATTTCAAGCCTAAACTTGTTGATTGCCAGTTTGTATCCATTTGTTCTTGTGCCCACATTGGCTGTTAAATAACTCTTCTCCTCCCTAGTATTTATCCCCCGCTTGTATTTATAGAGAGCAATCATATCGCCCCTCAGCCTTCTTTTGGTTAGGCCAACTAAGTTGAGCTCCCTGAGTCTCATCTTATATTGGCAGTACCTCCCAACTTTTGTCATCTACAAATTTTATTATCAAGTTCCCACTTTTTGCGCCAAAGTCATTAATGAAAATGTTAAATAAAATTAATCCCAAAACCAATCCCTGGGGAATTCCACTAGTAACATCTCTCAGCCTGATAATTCACCTTTCAGTATGACCCATGCTAGTCTCCCTTTTAACCAGTTCCTTATCCACCTTTCAGTTCTCATATTAATCCCCATTTTATTGAATTTAACTAATTTCCCATGTGGAACTGTATCTAATGTTTTACTGAAATCCAGGTAGATTAGATCCACTGCATTTCCTTTGTCTAAAAAATCAGTTATCTTCTCAAAAAAAAGAGATCAGGTTGGTCTGGCACGATCTACCTTTTGTAAAATCATGTTGTATTTTCTCCCAATTACTGTTTATCTCTATGTCCTTAACTACTTTCTCTTTCAAAATTTGTTCCAAGACCTTGCATACAATTGAGGTCAAACTAACAGGCCTGTAGTTTCCCAGATCACTGTTTTTCCCTTTCTTAAAAATAGGTAATATATTACCCATTCTCCATTTGTAGGGTATGACCCCTGAGTTTACCGATTCATTAAAAATCCTTGTAATAGGGCTTGCAATTTCATGCGCCAGTTCCTTTAATATTCTTGGATGGAGATTATCTGGGCCCTCTGATTTGGTCCCATTAAGCTGTTTGAGTTTGACTTCTACCTCGGATGTGATAAGTTCTTCTTCCAAATCAACATTTCTATTAGCCACTCTGCCACAACCTCTAAACTCCTCATTATCCTTATTAAAAACTGAGGCAAAGTTAAACCATGCCTTGATTATCTTTAATCTCCACCCCATCCTCAGTGTTTAGTAGTCCCACTTCTTTCCTTGTTTTCTTTTTATTTATACGGCTGTAAAGCCTTACTATTGGTTTTAATTTCCTTTGTAAGGTCTAACTCTGCTGGGCTTTTGGCAGTTCTCACTTTATCCATATACTTTCTAACCTCCAAAAGATAGCTTTCCTTTCTGATCCATCCTATCTTCCATTCCATATTGGCTTTTGGCTTTCTGCTTTCTCTTAGTAAGCTGTTTGAGATGCTTGCTCATCCAGTTTGGTCTTCCCTATGAATTTTTTTCCCTTGCTTGGATGTAGACTTCAGATAGCTTCTGCAACCTTGATTTAAAGTAATTCCAAGCCTCCTCCACATTCACGTCCATGAGTTCTTCAGTTCAGTCCACTTCCCTAACTAATTCCCTTAATTTTTGAAAGTTTGCCCTTTTGAAATCAAGGACCCTAGTTGTAGATCTGTTTTTGTTTATCTTTCCATTTAGTTTAAACTGAATTAGCTCATGATCGCTCGAACCAAGGTTGTCCCTTGCAACCAGTTCTTCTATGAGATCCTCATTACTCACCAATACTAAATCTAAAATGGCATCACTTCTTGTTTGTTTGGTGACTATTCAGTGGAGAAATCTGTCGGCTGTCGCATCCAGGAGAATCTGGACCCTACCATTATTATAGCATTTGTTCTCCAGTCTATATCTGGGAAATTAAAGTCTCCCATAATCACACAATTCCCAGTAATATTTATTTCATTAAAAATATTAACGATGTCTCTATCCATATCCACATCAGATTCTGAGAGGTCCATAGCATACCCCAAGCACTAACCCAGAGGAACCTCTGGTAACCTTTTTCCCTGAAGTGCTTTTGACCCAAATAGATTCTATTTTATCCATTCCATCACTTTTAATTTCTTTACAGTCTACCTCATGGTTAATATACAGGTGTTAGTTCACCACCTTTATTTCTGTGGATGGAGGCTTTTTTTAAAGTGAAATACATGCTACTCCTGCAAAAAAAAAAAAAAAAAAAAAGACCAAGAGCTTAAAGCTTATCTATTTCAAACAGTGTGTCAGTCTGATTTGAACAAAAAATCTCATCCCATTCAAGTGTCCTCAGCCATAGTTAACAGTGAATCTCTGTAGGTAGAGAACTGCTGGTACAGTTGCATTACCAATCTATAAATGATTTAGGACATGCAGCTGATGGCCAAATATGTAAAAATGTGTAATTTTTCTAACTTCTGTAAAATATAGAATGGGAAAATTGTAAAGGGATGTAAAAATGGAAACAACAACTATATTTTACTCCAATAAATGTCTGGAAAGAAAGTGTTCCTTTTAAGAATCTTGGGCTGTGAGCATTTTGTCAAATAATAAACCCCCACCCCACATGATCTACTAACTGCTTTCTGCTTCTTAGATGAAGAAGGTAACCGGGGGGCGAGGCGTCTTTATGAGGGCAACAACCTCTTTCCTATCAGCCTGCTGGACAAGCCACCTTTGCAATTAAACAGGGGCAACTCACTTTCTTTCACAAGCTGGACAAAGGTCCCCACCACTTAATATGCAGTGAGGGCAAGGTGGCTCAGTCCTGCTAGTTGCATTTCTAAATGCAAGTGGGCAAACAAAACAAAGGCTGAACAGAAAGATGAATCTCACGCTGAATTTATTTATCTTATTAAAGAAAGGATGTAAAGATGTTTGCCTATTCTGTAATCATCTAGGACATTTTTTCTACTAGGTTGATTTTGCAAATCGTTTTGTTGGAGGTGGCGTCACTGGTGCAGGACTGGTACAAGAAGAAATTCGTTTTTTAATCAATCCAGAGCTGATAGTATCTCGGCTCATCACTGAAGTCCTGGACCACAATGAATGTCTTATAATCACAGGTTAGTCTTTGTTAACTCTGTGCAGAAAGTTTCAAATACTTATCTTCCTATTATATATGGAATCAGTGTAGTGCCAAGAAATTTCAATTGACATCTCCAACATCATAGAAGCTGAAGCACTGTCAACAGTCATATACATACCCTGATTTATTCATGCCATTTTTCTTTTAGATCACAAATTTTAAAAGCGTCCTGTGTACCTATCTCCTAGTCTTCACACTCACTGCAATGCTCTTTGTAGACAGTTCTCAAATGAGTAATTATTGTGATAAGAGTTTAATTGCCTAATTATGTTCCAGTGTGAGTTTATGCTAAAAATCGCACTGACTTCAAATAACTCAGGAACAGGCTTTATAGTAAAAGCAAACCTCTTTTGAGTCTAATGGTCTGATTGTAAATTCCTCTTAGGGTCTGCTGTAACTTGGCTATAATACCTACATTAATACTCAGTCTACATAATGTCTCCGTTTACTGTGGGTTTCTTGAATTAAAATTCTAAGATTTGATATTGAAGTTAGTAGTTATTGGAGATGTCTACACTGCACAGTTATGTACACAATATTCACTGTGCTCACAAAGTTCCATCTTAGTAAATCAGTGAGCCCAGTGTAAAACGTGAAATGGCTTCTTTTGGAGGTAGTCTCTTTTTTTGGTTGTTAGTATTGTGCTCAAGAACAGAGTGGCACTTATCAGGATGGTTCCATTATTAGCATATCTAGGAGATCCATAGGATTCAACATATGAGTCAACAGTGTGCCCTTGTTGCCAAGAAGGCTAACGGCATTTTGGGCTGTATAAGTAGGAGCGTTGCCAGGAGATTGAAGGATGTGATCATTCCCCTCTATTCAGCATTGGTGAGGCCTCATCTGGAGTACTGTGTCCAGTTTTGGGCCCCACACTACAAGAAGGATATGGAAAAATTGGAAAGAGTCCAGCGGAGGGCAACAAAAATGATTAGGGGGCTGGAGCACATGACTTATGAGGAGAGGCTGAGGGAACTGGGATTATTTAGTCTGCAGAAGAGAAGAATGAGGGGGGATTTGATAGCTGCTTTCAACTACCTGAAAGGGGGTTCCAAAGAGGATTGATCTAGATTGTTCTCAGAGGTAGCAGATGACAGAACAAGGAGTAATGGTCTCAAGTTGCAGTGGGGGAGGTTTAGGTTGGATATTAGGAAAAACTTTTTCACTAGGAGGGTGGTGAAGCACTGGAATGGTTTAGCTAGGGAGGTGGTGGAATCTCCTTCCTTAGAGATTTTTTAAGGTCAGGCTTGACAAAGCCCTGGCTGAGATGATTTAGTTGGGGATTGGTCCTGCTTTGAGCAGGAGGTTGGACTAGATCAGGGGGGCGGGACCCCTCAGGGGGTCGCCAGGGTATGACATGGAGGGGGGGGGTCGCATCTGTCAGCCTCCACCCCAAACCCCACTTTGCATCGAGCATTTTTAATGCTTTTAAATATATAAAAAAGTGTTTTTCATTTATAACGGGGTCATGCTCAGAGGGGGGTCACCAGTACAAAAGTTTGAGAACCACTGGACTAGATAACCTCTTGAGGTCCCTTGCAACCCTGGTATTCTATGATTAACTGATATGCAGATTGTTAACAACTGGTGTGTTTTACATATTAAGCCTTTATATTTTTAGTGAAATTGTAACATTCATCCTGAAGGAGTCCAAAGCACTTCACTGTCTTTAAAAGCACTCCTCACTTCATCTGTCGTTTGAAGTGCTGCTACATCTGGGCTGGAAAATTACAGCTGTTTTAATGTTTGCAGAGTTGTTTTAATAGCACACAGAAATGTATGCAACAATTTAGGAAAGGACTTTAAGAGTTAACTGTTTTTCTGGATTAAATATACCTGTGAAGAACACAATATGAATACATAAATAGATCTAAAACTATACAGGAATATAGTTTCCCAAATTTGTATTGGCCAAGGTATCAGGGATAAAAGGAGAATATTTATACTTAAGTTATTAATTTAGGGTCTCGGTTCTTACTAAAGTCTGTTGAACAGCTCCCATTGACTTCACAGGGAGGTGGACCAGGCCTTAGACATGGACTAAATATAATGCAGCTTTTATTATTACTGGTAGGAGAGACCAAACTATCTATAGCCTGCAATATTTTTCCCTACTACTATTTCTTTTTTATGGCCTAATCTCAAATTTCTTCATCTGTCACTGTATGAGACAAAGAGCAGTGGAAACAAAATGAACTAATAGTTTGCAATGTTTTTAATTTTTTTTAAATTTGAATGTGGATTTGAAAATATTTCACTTAGGTTTATATTTCAAGTTGAAGTTTAAAAATGATACCCTAGTGCATGTGTTTTTAAAAAAACACATTGTGCATTTCCAGAGAAAAAGGCCAGTATACATCATAGAATATTTTTGTGAATGAGCTACTAAAAAAGTGGCCAACAGCAGGCCTACAAGAGAAATAAAACTCATTTATTACACACCGGTCTCTGGAGACTCCTAAACAGTCTCCATGGCTATTTTTAAGATTTAACTAAAGAGCACTGCAAAGAAGAGTCAGTAAGTAAAAGCCACAATCAGTTACCATTAGCAAATACTTCTATTTTGTCAAAAAACAGTTTTCCAATTCCTTCCTGGAATCAGCTACATTTAACCTGATTAAAGTGGGAGATTGAAAACTCAGTCTGAAGAAAGAAATTGGCTTATAGTCACCACAAAAAGAAAAAAATCAATCAACACAAAGAGCAGAGCAAGACCAGGCAATCCAAGAAGTCCTTCTCAGACTGTTGATTTTGCAAGTTACTTAGACAGAATATGCTCAGGGTCTGCACAGTGCCTGGAATATGTTGTTTTGAGGCTGTTTACAGAAATGTGCAATCTCTTACACCTTTTAGAATTTGGAGTTTACTGTTACTCATGTTAATACAGTTTCTAGCACCAAACCAGGATCGATTAAATCAGGTTTCTGAGCCCCAAAGAGTTGAAGGAAGGCTGAGCTGGGGCTTTGAGCTATGTAGGGTTTCCCGCAATAATGATGTGCTCAACTGATGGCTTGGGTGATCTGCATCATTGGAAAAGTAGACTGGCAGCTCAGGAGTAGAAGATGAGTCTGTCGGGGATCTGGGGATGGGGAAGGAAGGAAGAATCTCTTCTGGGCAGAGAAGAAATCAAAGTTTGTGTGAGGGGTCTACAGTTTACTGGAACCCAGCTTCCCTTTAATTTTAATTCAGACCAGAGGTGATACATTTTTTTTTTATCAGTTTATAATACATCTAAATACATATTTGATAAAACCCTCTGAAAGAATGCTTAATGAAAGAATGTACTCATACAAAAGATAGTTTAGTACAATGTCCATTTTTCAGGTTCTGTTGTACTCTGAAGCTTTGTTTTGTTACTCATTTTAAATTTGATTATCTTATATACAGTTGTGTCAGTAGGCAAATATCTTCAAGAATATAGTTCATGTGCCGTAACACATTTGCTGTAAGGTGATATGAGTTTCAGATTCTCCGTCGAATGCCCTGTGTTCGGCACTAACCAGATTAAAGCACTAAATTACTTCCCCTCCAGAAAGGGTTAGCTCTTCCAGGTTAAGGTTACTAAAAGAGATCGTAAAGAAAGAGTCCTCCCAAGAGAAGTCTACATCTCTGGATACAGTAAACAAAATGGTGGGGCAGCTAGTCATTCACCTTCAAAAATGCAAGCATTTGTTGCTAGGGTCAAACAAGTGTGACTTTTTCATTCAGCCAGTATTCTCCCAATTTTTTTTTCAATCCTCTTTACTTTATTATAGTGCCTCCTAATTAATATCTGTGATGTTCTGCTCCCTTAATGGAAATGGCCATTTCATCATCCTCATTTGATCCCTGGCGTTCTTCCATCTTGGTTCTTAGGCAAGTCTGCACTGTATGCCACTATCTTCCTGATAAATTACATTTTTTTTATGATGCATCTTGACGCAGTGGCCTAATGGATGTAACTGTGCTACTCAAATTTGCAGAAGAGTCTGAGAAATTGGAAAGAAATTAAATTTGTTCTGATTGTGCAACATCTGGTTGAGATCATCACTGTAATGAATATGAAACTGGTCATGCAAACGAAGTAGTTCTTCAACACACAGAGAATTGTCTGCCTACAGAAATGTTAGAGGGAATGCTAGAGATTCCCGTGAGATATTTCTACTATGTTTTCTTGTTTGGCTTATATACCACGATTGCTGCTAACAGACTATGGTTTCTACTCAGATTGTGAACAAGTCCTGATACTTTGAATTCAGCCTCTTTACCATGTGAGACCAAGTATGTTCAACCAAAGTAAAAACAGGCTGCTTATTCTGCTGCTTTACTGGTTACAAGTGGTACTAACCTTCTTCCCTCAGAGGGTATGATGTTCTATCCTCTTCCATTCAGACACTATGGGAAAGAAAGGTGGGGCAATGCCCTTTTCCTCCTCCCACTATAGCTCAGTGATTTAATTTACATGGCTAGATCTTAAGAATAGTAAGATCCTGAGTCCTTATGTTGTTTCTAGTAACCTACACAATTCTTTTTAGAGGCTCTAGCATATGGCAAGCAGAGTTTTCCTCGACTTCTGTAATTCATTAGAAGTGCTAAAGAAATATTCTTTGCTACTGCATTGTATCTCTTTTTTTTCTCTTTTTTTATAAGCACAACTTTCATCTTATTTTGTAGCTTGTCCTCTGAATCTTGGCACTCTGCCTACATGTTTTGTTTCTTTCTTTGCTCTCGTTTTCTTGGTTGTTTTCTGCTTTGTAAATGGCAAATTAGCCTCCTGCATTTCTCTGCTTGTTGTTTTCCCTAGCGTTCTGCAGTGTGCTATTCTGTATACTTTCATTTGAATTCAGATGTTGGAAACGCTAATCAATTAACCCAAAAAATAGGGCAGAAGATAAAGTAGCCTCTGAAATTCTCCAGAAATGTTTGCAGATCCGATTCTTTTTCCAACCTCCGCTTGGAAGCCTGAGAGTCACAGGCGAGACTACTGCCTGTCAAGTA